ATGTCTAGTGTGTTACGTTGTCTTATTACTGATAATCATTGATTGCGTAAGCAAGAGAGCAAGTTGAACATCCGCTCTCACACTTTTATTATTTGTAAATTGGGATTTCTTTACTGAATCTCCGACATATATATTTCTTTTGTCCGTGTGTATGTAACTGAACTCTTCTTAAATGGCTGGACCGATTTTGATGAAATTTTATGTGTGTTTAGGTCGCTTTGAGGAGGGTTTAGATTCACAATTAGATCCGGTAAGTGACCCAGTGTCGAGATCCAGAAATCACCCGTGTGAAGCCGGGGTAGATCGTTAGTATTTTATATATTACTTTTTAATAATAGAACAAAAGGATTTTTAAAGACTCATGGTTTCGTTCCTTTAAAAAAAAAGAGTGACAAACGAGCACACAGTCCACCTGATAGTAAGTGGATAGCGTTGCCCTTTGACATCTACGGCTATCCTCGCTTAGGAATCAAAATGTATAATATGCGTTGTCACCCGTGAGGATTAAGACGGAATGCCTCGTTTCCAGTAAAAGGGGTCTCCGATTCTCTACACTCACTACACGAAACACAGCAGCGTTAAGCGGCTATTTTACGCTGGTATTCTGTGAGAGCATGGTCCTACCCCGATCGCGCCGACCCATTCATGCTACAACCATAATATTAATGTAAAATTATTGCATTTAGTTTATTACATTCCCCTTAAAAAATAAAGGAAACAAATAGAGGGCTTAATGCCTTTAGGCATTCCCTACCTGTCGACCTATGAAGTAGTGAAATTTTGACTTAGTTGAAGCAATGCAAAAATAATGTAATACAAATAATATAAAACAAAAATATAGTATATAACTACAACGGTTAATATTAATTAAGATATTATAATTTTGTAATATAAAATGTAATAGATATTAGATAATATAATATCATCATCATCATCTTCTTCTTCATTACAGCCTTTCACAAGTTCACTACTGAATATAGGCTTCCCTGACGAATGCTACAAAGTACGGTCCAGAGCCACCTGCATCGATTAACTTCGTGCAGCTCTTACCAGATCTTCACTCCATCTAGCGGAGTATCGTCCTACACTTCGCTTACCTGTACGAGGCTGCCACTCGAGAAACTTTCTTACCCATCGGATGTTGGTTCTTCGAGCTATATAGCCGGCGCTTCACCATTTCAGCTTACTGATCCGTCTGTTACTCTGGTCATATGGATATCATTAGTACAAAGTCACAACGCACGTACGCAGAGCAATTAGAGCTAGCTTCTTGACTAGACCTTGAGCTTCCTGATTTTGCCAGCAGTAACCACGTTTATTTTATTTTTATTAAATAAAGGTGACAAACGAGCACAAAGTCCACCTGATGGTAAGTGGTTGCTGCGGCCCATAGACATCTACATATATCTTCGATTTCGCTATAAAAAAGCAGATGCGTTGTCAGCCGTGAGGACTAAGATAGAATGCCTCATTTCCTCATTAGAACACTCACCATACGAAACACAGTATCATTAAGCTGCTATTTTACGCTGGTATTCTGTGAGAGCGTGGTCATTCCCCGGTCGAGCCGACCTTTAGATAGATAGATTAGATAGTTGTAGCACGAATGGGTCGGCTCGACCGGGGATGGACCACGCTCTCACAGAATACCAGCGTGAAATAGCAGCTTAATGATACTGTGTTTCGTATGGTAAGTGTAGAGAACCGGAGATCCTTTTTACTGGAAAAGCGGCATTCCATCTTAGTCCTCACAGGTGACAACGCATCTGGATTCGCAAACGAGGATAACTGTAGATGTCTATGGGCCACAGCAGCCACTTACCATCAGGTGGAATGTGTGCTCGTTTGTCATCCTATCCCATAAAAAAACTATACTATTAATATGGCTGCAGCATGACTCTACTACGTATACCACGTATACGTAACCACGTATCAGTAATATAATATAATACGTAATCATTATTACAACGAAATCAATGATATAAGATACGAAATAAATATAAAGGGTACTCTTGTAAGCAGCAGTAGTTAAAGAGGCACAACCGTCTTTAATAAATGCTATAGTCGATGCCGTAATGTATTTAGATAATAAATGTATTTAGAGGGCATTTGAAGTTCGTCTACATCTATTGGGTCAACATCTTATGGAGCAGCGCGACGGATTCATCTCACTCTATTATTGCTACCATAGCAGTAATGAGAGAATGTCTGTGCCTAGTAATGGAAATTTTAAATAATTCCTGTGGCGTAACTTTGATTGTATTCTTAATCCGACTATCTAATGGCATTTTTAAACGTTAATTAACAGTTTTTTTTATATAAAAATATATTTGTTACATTATCATCTACTAGTTGTGCCCCTAGTTGTCAGATTATCTGTGATCACGCGAAGAACGCGTGGTACCTAGTTAGGATGCAGTTTTAAATAAAAATCTTCGTCTTCATAATATATAAATTGTAATATCGTACTTTGAATTACAATAGGTATGAATTTCTTGATAAGACTTATTACATTATTGAAATTAAATACAGATGATACAATTCTAGAGAAAAACGCCATGTTAACATTTTACAGAAAAAGATCTTAATCCTCGTGACATGTGTCTATTTTATTCTTTACAATTATTTAAAAAACTAAACTAAAACAAAAAAACATATAAAAACTCCACGAACAATCTGTATTTTCAAAAAAACTGTGATAAACACGTAAAACACGTCAAAAAAGGATATCAAGTAAGGAATTTAACAATTGGTTTTTGGCGACAGCGTAATTATATCCTCTACTCCGTATCGTCCCGTGGGTGTCGGAGGAGGCAACAGAGGGAAAATGAAACACGATATGGGCAGCAACATTTTCCTGTTAACAACTGAACATAATCAAAAACTGCGGATGTTAACCCGTCTGCCTGCTTGCTGCGCGGCAACTGCGGCAAAATGCCCCCTATAAGACAATCTATGGGGGTGGCCTATGTTCACCAGTGGTATTCTGATAGAAATATGCATACGTTTGTTCTAATGTCAAAGGCATATACCGATTGTAAACATCAACTGCATAATATAAACAAATTCCTTGCAGCATAATGATAACATGTAGGGTATTCAAATTTGAATGCTATTTGCGATATATTTAATGTTTAACTGTTTACTTTGTATTGTTGTCTTATTTACGACATATTAAAACAGGTTACTCATAATTAATATCACGATGGTGAAACATTATTATACCTATGGCAAAGATGTTTTATAGGTCTAAAATATCTTTGACCTATGGTATAATCTTTATATATAAAAATTACGTGTCACATTGTTTGTCCGCGATGAAGTCCTAAAGTATTGAACTGATTTCAATGAAATTTGCACACTATGTGCAGTTTGGTCCAACTTGAAAGATAGGATAGTTTTTAACCTGATAAGTGACACTGAATATTTTTTTATTACGAATTTAAGAATTTTTTATAACGTCGTCGAAAAGGGTAGAACAACGTCTGGCTGGTCAGCTAGTATAATTTATAACTTTATTGATGTTTCACCATCATACCAATACTAATATTTTATAACAGTATTCACTTTATAAATAACTATAATATAGAGTTAAAGTTCTATGCTCTCTGTATATTTTTAATTTTATGCATTATTTAATTTGTGCATCCTATTTATAATAAATATAATATTAATGTAAATCAAAAGAAAAGTCGCTAGTATAATTTCGAAAAATAAACGCACCTAATTGTGGATACTTGCAATTTATGACTATAAAAAAACTTAAGTTAGTTGATAAGATTTTACATATTAAAAGCGATTTTTTTTGATGCTTTGGCAGTGTTTTTACTGGCTGTTGTTTTAAAAAATTAACCTGTTCCTGTTTCTGTACAAATATGTAAAATTTATAACTTTTATTACTAAATTTATTATAAAAAAGTTACCGTTACAGTCTGCCCACTGCTGAATATAGGCCTTCCATATAGATTGCCTCATATGGGGAATATTTGCCACAGTTGCCACGCTTGGCAAGCGGGTTAGCAACCGAAGTTTTTTTTTATTTCTAGTCATTATTAGGAAGACGCTGCTGCCTATTTCCTGATTTGTTTCCCTCTGTCGCCTCTTACGTCATGCACGGTATGATACGGGGTAGTGGATATTCTTACACCGCCAATACAAGGATAGAATAATGTAAATGTTCAGTGTGCAGTATCCACTTAGGACTTGTGTACAGAATACGGTTTCGTTTTGAGTGGTTTCACTGTTTAAATAGTCATATGATCAAAACGTATATGAACAGTTATATTATGAGCTATTATATGAACAAAAAAAGCTCTTTTAGAAACGTGACCATTCTTTTTTTCCGGTAAGTGCCATAATTAACTTTAACGTTAACGTTTAGTTATGTGCGCAATGTTGCTCACGTAAAATGTTGAATTCAGAGTGTAATATAATATTATGATAAATTAATAAGCAACTAGTTAATTGGATTAAACATATTATATTGATTACTTTTTACGTCATATATCCTCCAATCTCCTTTTTATTTTATTGATTTGTGCGATATGTAATACAAAAGCAAAATATGAAGGTAGAGTTTCCGTGTGTTTGTGATTGGTACTGAAGGTATAATATATACGGGACCTTTGGTCCGAGAGTTCCACTAACGCTTGACTGGGTTTTTCGGTAACGAAATCATACGACGTATAATATTGTATCTCATTAACAGTGAATAAAGTAAATCTCTCATTGCATACACTAATATTAATGTGGTTTCGATCGGGGAGAGTGCAAGACGTGCGCGAGCGCACCTCGTTGCTCCTCACTTGTTTGTAGACCGTCTCGAGTCACGCGCGTGTCTCTGTCTTCCGGACGCTTCCCTGCACGTGCATTACGCTATCATTCACAAACTAGCCGTTACGACCCTACCTTCCACGAATCGGATAATGGGGAGATAAGTGTTAATTATTAGTTGTCAATCGGTTAGTAAAGTTTCGTGTGTGGCAGTGTTTTGGATTGTTATGGAAAAGAGCGCGTTGATACCCGAAACGATGTATACCAAATCCGACGCGTTGAAGGAGGCTAAGGACTTGACGAAGAATTTGGTGGGTGGTGATTTTGAACGCCAGTACAAGGATAAGTCAAAGGAGAATGGGAAGAGGCGGAGTCAGTGCGTTATTGTTGGAGTATCCATCGGGGTGTTGGCCATATGGCTGCTGGTACTGACATTAGTCAGAGAGGTTCAGCTGGCGCGCCTTCGTGCTGAAGTCGAGCAGCTCACCGCCAACATGATCGCAATGTCCGCGAACGTTAAGTCTCTCAATGAGAAGCTGTCCAACAATCGGCTTTTCAACGAATTCAAAAATCTAGAGGACACGGTGAGTCTACCCACATGTTTACTTTCTTTTCTACCTGACGTCAGCTTATGTCTGAAATAAAATTACATGACACGTGTAATACGAAGAATAATAAGATTTCATAGTTGTTTACATCATCGCGATTTCGTGGCGTTTATTTATACGCTCTTTAATTGGCAAACTAAAAAATTAAAATGAACTTGTATATACATACACACTATTACTCAAGAGAAAGAGCAAATAGTAATTTACATTTGTCCTTAATTGGTAGCAGTAATAGTATTTTATCGCACCCGTTATCAGATGATGCCAAAAAACTGTATTTGTTAGTTAATAAGAGATTAAGTAACTAGTAAGTATAATAAGTTTATTTGTTAGTACTTATTATATTTAAGATTATTTTTAACTACCAGAGCGGCATAATCGCATCAGCGACAAAGCCCTTTCCATCTATCTATGAATTAAAAAAAAAATACTTGTGTATACTATTACACGGACACATTTTGTCCGTGCAATAGTATACACGGATACAAATACATAACATAACATATTTATATTTTTATAACTAGAGAACAAGTTGTATAATTATTATACGTTAAAAATGAAATACCGAATTCCAGTTTAGAAATATGCGGCTTTTAAAATCCAAAGTAAACAAATGATAACACATCATATTATGTTTTAATGCTGTGCGATGTGTGGTAAGCTATAGTATTATCAGCTGTTCAAAGGCATGTTTAGGTCGTTTGCTTGGGCGCATTTTACGTAATAGTGTAAGTATTTATTGTTAGATAACACGCACGTCTCGGCCAAGGTTCTAATACAGCCAGTATCGTTGTTATTACACTCAATTGACCCCACATGGCGACTTCTCGCGGAACGTAAATAATGTGCTTTAAATTAAATGTTATGTCGGTCATCTATGTAGATAAATAAAATTGTAGTAACTGTATGTGATTCATGAATTTTAAGATTTCAATTTGTTTTCTGTGTGTCCTACTTGAATCTAACGTTAAATGTTGTCTGTTAGTCTGATAAAACGGATTTTTAATTAGAAAATTATTGACTGTTGATGACCAATTTAGTTTTTGTCTCTATGTAAAATATCGAACAATTAGTTGATTTTTGTCTCGAAATTCACGCAGGCGATGGAATTAATGTTAAATATAATATGAATGATGAAGGTATATATTCAAAATAAGAATGATTGCCAAATGGGTTTTTCTCGTATTAAGACATCAAATTATTATTGGAAATTTTTAATAGTGGTAGAGGCACGCGGCCGCTTTAGCTGTTGCACGGATGGGCCGGCTCGAACCGGGGTGGTACCACGACCTCACGGAAAACCAGCGTGAAGTAGAGGTTTACCTCTGCGTTTCGCTTGGTGAGTGCAGGTGGCCGGAGGCCCTTTTTCCTGGAAATGAGGCATTCCATCTTAGTCCTCACGGGTGACAACGCATCTACATTTTGATTTGTAATAGAGGATAGATATATATGTCTATGGGCCGCAGCAACCACTTACCATCAGGTGGACTGTGTGCTCGTTTGTCACCTTTATCCTATAAAAAAAATGTATTTGTTAAATTGCAAGTAGGCACTGCAAGTGTATATATTCAGTTGACAAACATTGTTAGAGGCCATTGACAACTGTTTTAAACTAATAAAATAAGCTAGTGCTTGACTTCTATTTCACCTGGTGGCAAGTGTTTGACGAAGCCCAAGATAGTAAAGGCACTGTCTGTTACAAAAGCCTCTCACTCTTGTCCTGAAGACACTCACTTTGGAATCGGACGGAAAGAGAGACGCTAGCAAATTATTCAACTACCTTTCTGTACTTATTACGACTGATGAAGCAAACCGTTTAGTGCGAATGTGTGGATTGTCGACCACAAAGGGTTGGAGAGTAGAGAACTGCCTAGCATCTGGTTGTTACATGTTGAGGATGAAAAGGGAAAGGTGAAATGAAATCATGTTACTTCTTTAAAATTGAATTAAATTGCACACGCTCTGGAATGTATTTTAAAGAAGAATAGCAAAGAAAAAGATTAAATTTAAAGAATTTTTTTTCCAATCAAAACACTTAAACTATTTCATAATATTAACATAAGAAAGGTAAAAACTGACTCTGATTTTATACCACAGTCTGATTTTTAAACGTCAAAAGTTTAGTGAAAATAACCCTCAAATCGCCCAAATCTATTGTTATGCAGGCCTGTTAGTTAAATAATAAACGATCGACCGCTGATAAGGCCGTACAAAGCGTGGGGTCGGAAAGGCCGAGGCTTAGAAAAGGTTTGGGTCGAACAGCAAACCAGTTACAAATGTAAACAAAAACGCCACCCGCCGCCGTCCAACGTCCACAGTCCGCCGTCGCAATCTCGCAATTACGTAACTGCTATACTTAGCTTGCTACGAGGCTTAAAAAAATGCAGTCCATTTACCTGAAACAATTTGCAAACAAAGAAGACCATAGACGCGTTGTCACCCTAAGGTATACTATGAAATACTAGGCAGAATGTGCTGGTTTTCTCACTCTTTACACAGGAACTCTGCAGTATTGCTTGGTGGCAGAAATAGAAACCAGGGAGTCCTAATCTGGATGTCTCTAGGCAAGAAAGGACCTAATATATATACTAAATCATATTTACGACTTATATTGTTTGCATTATGTGTTTAACCCTAAATTAGAGGTAGAGACATGCGGCATCTTTAATATAGTTGTAGCACGAATGGGTCTGCTCGACGAAGAAGGACTACCTACGTTCTTACAGAATACCATCGTAAAATAGTGGCTTAATGCTGCTGTGTTTCGTATGGTGACTGTAGAGAACCGTAGACACTTTATACTGGAAACGGGACATTTTAATTTAGGCCTCAGGGGGCAACGCATATTTATTTTGATCCTTATTCGATGAAGGATGTAGAGTTCATGAGCTTCAGCATTCACTTACCATCAGGTAGACTGTACGTTCGTTTGTAACCCTAACTTTAAAAATATAATATTAAATTTAGTTTCTTACATAAACATTTTAAAAAGATATTACTTCTTTACTATGAAGTTGTCTTCCATCGTAGAGGCGTTTAACATTTATAAATTATATAAAGATAATGCCCAGACACGGACCAATTATTTATGGGACATACTAATAGTAATAGTTGTTTCGTGCAGGATTCGAACTCATGGCCCGCAACGCCGCAGACAAAGCCGGTACATCAGTTTAATTTCAAACAATCATTTAGTAAATACAGTTGAAATCGGTTCCAACGACATTGAAGGGACCGTAAACATACAAGTTTATAACATTTATTTAGGTATTTTTTATAGAGACAAAGTGACAAACGAGTACGCACACATCTACCTTAGCTTTCGACTGAAAATTAAAATGCAGATGCGTTGTCACCCCTAAGGATTAAGAGGGTATGCCTCGTTTGTAGTAAAAATAAAAAGGGTCGCCGGTTATCTACACTCACTATACGAAACACTCAATCTCCTGCTGTTTAACGCTGGTATTCTATAAGAGCGTGGTCCTTACCTAGTCGAGGAGACCTATTCGTGCTACAACCACAATATACCTACTCGTAGCTACGGCATGGCTCTACTACATTAAAATATGGCACAGAGCATTGCATGGTTTCTATTTAAATTTATATCGCTGGCTTTTTAAATTGACTAATTTGCAAATAAAAATAGTTTATGTTTATACGGGTATATATGGGAACTTTTTATTTTATTTTTTTATAGAATAAGGGTAAAAAACGAGCATACAGTCCACCAGTGATTGTAAGTGGATACTGTGGGTCATATAAATCTACATTTATCCTTTAATGATCTAAATGCAGATGCGTTGTCACCCTTGAGGAGTAAGATAGAATGCTTCGTATCCAGTTATAACACCAATGGTAGAATTCAAAATTTTGTACAACCGACTTCAATATTAAATAAAATGAGAACATCATCAATGTAGTCATTAGTCATTAGTCATTTATTCCAAAAAACAATATACATTGTGTATATTGTCGAAGTCAATTAAATAGGTACGCATTATTAAGGACAACTCAAAAACTACTGATCAATTTTATATGGAACCACATGACAAGCACTAGCTTTCAAATAAAAGAATCATCAAAATCGGTTGATCTAGAAAAAAATCCTGAGGTAACACCTATAAAAAATACAGTCGAAGTGAGAACCACCTCCTCTTTCTTTGAAGTCGGTTAAAAAGGGACTCCGGTTCTCTATACTCACCATAAGAAACACAGCAGCACAAAGCTGCTGTGTTAGTATTTACTTCCTAACCCTAAATATCTTAGTCTTAATATTATCTTACCTCTAACTATACCAAAAGAAAGTCGTAAAATTTTAAGCTATATTTGCAGTGCAAACTCATGTTACTTATCTAACTATTCAAGGATAGTTTAGGATAAGACATTCAAAATTAAATTCCATTGTTTGAACAGAACTTTATGTGCACACAATAGGCGAGAAGGTTGCACTCAGGTATACGCTTGACCCATAATATTTCTTCCTATATACCTAGAGAATGTTGTTGACAAGTAAAAATATTAATGATTCCCACAGTAATGAATTAACTTCCTAAATATTTTTATTATAATCTATATGGATCTTACTGAAATAAGATATTTCATATTACCAAATTATATTTATCGGAAATGTATGTAATAACTTTCAGGTTATTTTTTATAGGATAGGGTGACAAACGAGCACATAGTCTACCTGATGGTAAGTGGTTGCTGTGGCCCATAGACATCTACATTTATCCTTGTTTGTCAATCAAAATGCAGATGCGTTGTCACCCGTTAGGACTAAGATGGAAAAAAATATGAAAAAGTGCCTTTTTACTGGAAAAGAGGCACTTTTCCAGTAAAAAGGGTCTCCGGTTCTCTACACTCACCATACGAAACACAGCAGTGTTAAGCTGCTATTTTACGACGGTATTCTGTAAGAGCGTGATACTACACCGGTCGAGTCGATCCATTCGCGCTACAAATATACTACTAAT